AAATATTTCAAAATCCATAAGGGCAAAGGGTGGGACAAATTTTATGTGAATCGTTTCGAAAATTTATTTCACCCTTTCCCCAGTGATTTTGTTATACTATTGATTATGTAACTGAAAGTAATTCACTAGATTGAACGCAAATAAACATGTTTTGGTCAAATGCTGCTGCTTTATGTTGCAATTATTAAGAGAGTATACCACCATTTTTATATACATATATAATGTTGCTTTTCGAAGTTATAGTAGTTCTATCTGGATATCGCTTAAGTATTATAAAGTGAAAAGTTAATAACTCTTTTGGAATAAATAGAGACAGATTTTACAGATACGACTGCATTATTTTTTCATGAATAATCTATAAAACTGAGATTTAATTTGCTGGTCTTTATGCATTTTTTAAAATAAATAGTGTCACATAGTAATGACTATCATCAATATTTAAAGTCTTTAAACACATGGTAGAAATGTGAGCTACAGAGTCCTGGTTGATATGGACTAGCCAATACTAGGCAACCTTTTGGTATTTACATTTCGAAATGAAGAAGATACGAAGAGTACTTTAAGTGAAGTGTTTCGAGTGTTAATACCTATTAGATGTGGGTACACAATAATTGAGCAAGCACTGAAAAATAAATTTACATTTGTGACTACCGTAAATAAACTGTTAGCATGTATGTTTAACTTTATTAGTATTTACTCGGCGTGGAATTCATCGTTTTCGTAATATTTCGATATTTCGACCCAATGTCCAATATTAGCGGTATACACTATTGGTAGGATCATTTGATGTCTAACGGCACAGGGGCAAGAAGGGTCTCTTGCCAGGCATTTTGTTTATGGTTTTTAATTAACTCAAATCAAATTATATAGTATCGAAAATGAGATGATAAAAGATGAAAGCTGTCCAAATAAACCCCCATTCCTTCTAGTGAACAACACAGAGTAGACGATTCTCCTCTTAAAAATTCTTTCTTTGTTTGTTGTTCTCAATGTATAAAAACGGAGCGAGATCCAATCAAGATCGGACCAAGATTCCTAATGCGAACACATACATTATAAACAACTGAATGATATTTAATCGAATCAAGAGTACAGTTGAGAGATGATTTGCTAATTGTCTTTCCAATTTATAGTTTCATAGCTTTGATTGGTCACGCGTAACCGTGACGAACAATAAATTAGCGATCAAAGGTATGAGAAATTAGAGAATAGAAATAACAGAAAATTAGTAAAAACGAACGAAAACTGATCAATCAGCCAAATTTCTCAGCCTAGCCGAGTAATTCTCTAACAGTAAATCGAAGCTTGATCGTGATAGTGTGTATAGGGTTTAATAGACCCGACGAAAGAGTTGAATGAATGAAATTCAGCGTTAGAGAAATAATTCTTTTATTACCCAAAAATTTGTTTATTCGAATACTCTTGATTTATCTTCTTATTAATTCGAATACTCTTGATTTATTGAGAGACTCTGTTGTAAGCGTGTAGCTTATATCAAAGAGTCTATTTCAGATTTGAAAAGGCGTTAGTGATTTCAAATCGATTACTGGTCGGTAACTCGTGCAAAGGATCTCTTAATTTAAACGGTATAGATGATAGAATAATAATAATCGATTTCATTAACGCAAGGTCTTAAGTTCCGTAAAATGCCAGCTGGATGATTAAGATTGAAATGCGAGATGTTAATTGGTGGCAAGGTGAAATTGGACCGATTTTCTGACCAGTGCATCCTCCCTTTTCTCTATCGGGGGCTAGGTGCAACCCGATGGACGTCATGGTATCGATACCGATTACAGCCGTACCATCAATTTCCCTCACAGTAGTGATTAACGCTCGATCGCTGATCTTCGAATAGAAGTCGATCGATATCGGAACTAAGATACTGATGATTATCTGGTATCGCGTTTTGAACTCTCGTCTATGAGTCGATTCATGTTACCAACTCATCGCTGTAGAAATTACCTAGACACTTTCATTAACTTTACCTCTAAACACCGATTAGTTCGAATATTTCCTAATGAACAGCCCATCTCTATTAGTATCACGATCCCATTTGTTGTCTTTCATAATTTTATTGGTGGATTATATCATGTGCCCGTAACTGTTGTTGTTTTAAAAGTGAAGTTTCCTTAAATTTTCTCACGTTATTATTTCATTCGTGTTAAATATTATCCGTGTATAATCCGATAGCTTTATTTTTCCTTCGCAGAACGGTTATCAAATCTTTTTTCAATTTAAATTTCCTCTTAATTTGAATACTCCTATTAAAAGATATGTTTAAATTTAAATTTACAGTTTGAAAGATACGATTAATTTAAATCTTTAGTTTGAAATATATCAATAAAGATAGAATATCGAGTAAAAATACGCGAATATTTCCGATATCTGTTGCTCTTCAAGTTTTATCAAGGTTCAAACGCTATAGAGCCATTGTAAATATTTAAGAAATCTATAGAAAGCATTTTATCAGAGATTTAATACATCAGACACTATTAGTCCTTCAAATGGAGCAACTTTTATTTCAATGATACTACATTTTCACCTATCGTTAGTATGCGATGACACGATCTTGTAAAACAAGTAAAAAATTTAACCGGAGTACAATAATATCGTAAACAAATTTTATTTCAAAGAGAAACGCCGCGGAATCGAGATAAAAACCAATAACGCAGGTTTTTTCTCTCAATTCTTGATGTTAATTGCTTAGCATCTAAGAGAGTAAATACTCTAAGATACGGTGCTTTTTTAAATGAATTTCTTATGATTCCATGGAAGTTATTTATAAGTCCTTTGAACTATTTCCTATTCTTGAGCCTTCATAAATCTATTTCTAATGAACTATATGATTTAATAGGCGTCACCATTTCTATCGATTGAAAGCCAGTTTCGTTAAGGTAAACGAGTATTATGTTCGGTTGTGGGCATTTATTTTGATTAACAGTGAAAGTGCTCCAAATAATGTTAATTTAAACAGTAAATGGACTATTTCAATTCGAAGCCTGTGTGTAACTTCGAAAGCATAATACCTCATTTACTACAACTATTTTTAAATCGGCGTTTTATTTGATACTGAAAATAATGGAATTTTATGATGAAATACTTCCGTTTAGCCTCATTGAATTGATTTTGCACTCACGAAACGGTAGCTAAACGGTTAAAATTGAAAGTGTTATTGTAATGTGTTCGAATAATCATACCAAGATTTTAAATGCTTCGTCGAATATACTCCTTTGTTATCATACTATTTCTTTTCTAAATGTACTTCTATTACTACGAAATTTATAATCTCCATATTTGAACATTTAATTTTATTCTTAATGTCATCGAAATCGAAATATTTTATTCGTTATAGATTGGTTTGTTATTGAAATATATAATGGTACTTGAAATAGCTGTTTTTAAGTGTACCTCGCTTTAACTTTGCACGTGAAACCATGCTATTAGGTATGACTGAAGCGTTGCGCTGGAGTCAATAATCAAGAACAATGAACCATGAGAACGAATGAACAAGAATAGAATAAAATCACATGATCGTCTGCGGTTAACACTGTCAGCATTGTTGTTAGTTATATTTATGTGTTGTAAGTTGGGTACGCTAATCAGTATACATTGGTATAATTAATCCAATATCAATCTCAATTGAATGCCTTTGGTTTAATTCATAAACCATACTTAATTAACAAACCATTATTACAATACGTGTATCCAGTGCTTAGTGACGTTAAAATTTTCATACCTATTTACAGATTTCCTGAATTTTAAAATTTGTGTAGTTCATTGATCGAAATAATTTTTTTTTATCACGTCAGAGCCTTCCATTTAATTAATTATTCTTCTATTATAATCTGTAAAGTAATAGCGTTTAAATAAATCACTGCACTTTTAAAATATATAATGTTGTTTGCTATATTTGATTATGATATTATATTTTTCCTAAATATGATATTTTACAAAACAATCACGAATACAGAGACGCAGTAAGTATCGCAGTGGTAACCTTTCGATTCTATTTTTCTATTAGAACGCACTGGATATTTCTTATTTAGATCTCTTTCATTCCACCATTGTACATACATGCAGTTTGCCATTTAGTATTCCGTCTTTGTTGTCAGTAGATGGTCTACTGTGCGATGTCAGACATTTGTCACGTGGAAATGTCAATTGTCATATAAACTGTAGGTGTAACATAACACTTTTATCTTCCTTTCTCGCTATTTTTTTCACACAGTATATAACTCCTCATCTTTAAATCGAGTAATACATTCAAAAAGAGTAATTTTCGTGGATTTCTTTGGTTCAATTTTTATTCATTTACACCTATGAAAGTATTCTTAGAATAACACAAACTATAAATTAAATTAAATTTTTAATTTCGCCTTATAAAAAATGGTATTATAATTAACCTTTTCTCGCATTCCTTTCTCGCATCACAAACGAAGTTTGTGACCTGCTTGTAAATTTCACACAAATTTACTACAATAACAGATCTTTATTTTACATGAATTATTTTAATAATAAAGACTTTAATGTTTTAACCTTTATTGAGTATTTACAATTTTATATTTTTATTATTTTCATTTTATACAACCAGACCGGTGAGAGTGTTCTGTTAAGCATAATTCGCCTCACGACCGCAAAGAGTTAACCTGTGAACTATGGAACATAGTTTGAGAAATCTCTCGTTTTGCACGCAATGAAATAAAAAAATGAAATCTGTACTCGTCAAACGCAGGGCGATTGCACGTAGGGTATATTTTAATAAAACACCAAAGCAAAACAAAGAAGAATGACATGTTTATCTGAAAAAATAAAGAAATCATCGTTGAAAGAATTGGTATCCTTTCAAACTTTAAGCTGGCGTGTCTACTCGTCAAACGCAGTTAATTGGTTAACACGTAAAATACAAAATATTGAGAGTCAGTGTAATATGCAACGCTGATCGCAAACGAATAAATGGACCCATGCTGTATCTAATCGATCCGCGTTTCACTTTGTTCCAGTATTTCTGTGGCCAGGGAGTTGTTTGAATCGAGAAGATAGCCGTCAGTGATTACGGGGTTCAAGTGCAATGTTTCGAGTTTCGGAACGACCACGAACGGACTACAGTTGTGCGCACAGTGTCATTCGTTGCTGCGATTTCCGTTGCGACTCGCCCGTGACCGAACACACAGGGAAGTGAAATTGACAAAAGAAAAAGAACACAAGGGCGCGCGAGAGGGAGGACCAAGAAAGAGGGAGTGTCACAACACGTGTGAAATGGATGGTACGCCAAAGAATAGCGAAGAAGCAGTGTTAATATATGGATGCCCATGGGTGGAACTTGGCCGAGATGTGCCAGCGCTACCATCACGCTGTACCGCCAGCCCAAAATTCCTCGTCAGCTAGGGATCCCTCTGCTGCCATCGTGCAAGGCTTGTCAACGGCCACGCACATCGAACAGGCTAGCCCCTCTTACTCCCATTACACGTAAGTACAATCCTTATTATTGCTACCTAAAACGTATTGAACATTCGAAATGATCTCAAAACTAAATAGCTTCGCTTGAATACTATAATGAATATACGAAGAAATAAAGACAAGTATATTGTCACAATTTTTATAAAGATTGCATATTAACACGTTCGTTACCAGCGCTTATTTCGCTGACGGTTTCCTTAATTATAATATTTTCTTCAATCCAATAAATCTTCTAAACAAAATATTAGAAAAATGAAACTGAAACGAGTCATTGAGTTCCTAAGTATAATGTCGTAGTTTATAATTTATAATAACAATATCTATAGGATTAATTTTATTTTCATTATGTAAAATATAGGATTACGGCCGTCACAAATATGTGACGCTGGTACCGAACGTGTTAATGACATTATGTAAACGCTCGGTAAAAAGTATTAGGGAACAATTAAACCTAAGAACGCCGTGTTCGGATAAATTATTAGCGGGTTACAACGGTTGGTTCAGTAAAATACTCGGTTATAGTTTGGATTCGTTTATTCCATGTTTTTGCAGAGACCAAGCTCTGTTTAAGTTCAAGAAGAACAAAGATTCGACTCTGAGATGCAGGCCCTGTAGTTGTCCAGAGACTTGTGCACTCTACGTACGCTTACGAAAAAACTACACCTGATCCTCCGTTTACGCGGAGTATTCGTTACACGTGGATTCGTTTTACGCAAATAAGCTACCATTAAGTCAATTAGTACAAAAGAAAACAAACCATTGGAAGAAAATCTGATACGAGTTTCAGAGATGCATATTTATTTCACATACCCGATCAAGAAAATGATAATGATGACTTTTCAAGAAACGAAAGTAAGTTTTATTCGGTGTTAACATCACGCATAAACAGTAATAACATAACAGTAAATGGAGGGTCAGATGTAGCGTTACTTTCCAAAAAATCGTGGACTTTATATACAATCTCTGAGTGCGCTCAACGAGCAATTTGCATTCCGTCTAGGGTGCATCGCAAAGGTAGAGTAGGCAGGCGACACTTGTATATATACTTACAGAGTAACTCTCACGTCTTAGCCGAGCGCCGGCAAGCTGAAGGTGCACAGGGGCAAGGGAAAACGTCCACTCGCAACACTCGGTCCTAATACTGTAATGCTCGCTTAAATTCCACAAGAATCTATTCGACTTGATTCCACTGCACCATTCCTACTCTTCTCCCTCTACTTACTGTATCGAGCTCAGTGTAACGTGATCCCAGTAGACAGGGACAGAAGATGAATGCATTGAGGGGAAGAGCGACAAACATAGGTCAAAGAGATGCCGCACGCGTCAAGTATAAACATGCAATGAAGAAAATTACCTATATACATTTTAAATTATTGAGCTTTGTCCAGAAAACGGGCGTTTGGCTGCACTGTGCGGCGGCAACTGTTTATGTTTACCGAATCTCGGGGACAGGGAGCCGCAGTTACTGTTTTCTGGAAGGATCGAGGTGGAGCGGAGCCGAGTCTCCTTGCCCCGTGCACTTTTAACTTGCTGGTAGCCGGCCAAGACGCGAGAGCGACATTGTACCTCGATTGTCGTGATTATAACTCCCTTACACGTTGAAACTTGCGACGATATAAGCATCGCTACAAGCGATAGATTTGAGTTTTACAAAGTTTCATGATACATGTTGCACTCTAACGAAAAGTTAGAAAAGCTAAAACCCATCGCTTGTAGTGATACCTGCTTCGTTGCATGTTTCAACGCGTATAGAGGTCTTAACACTTTATCTATCGCAAGTCTATTAATCGGATTTTCAATGACCAGTATTGAAAAATGTATATACTGTTCAAATTATTCTGTTTGAAAACAAAAGAAATCAGAATGACATAACGAGATTCTCTCAGACTTTGACTGTATACTTACAGAACTTTGCAAGTGAAAATATAGACTGCTTTGTCTTAACGAAAACCATATTGTTAACCAGTAAGTGGTAGCCTCGATCAGGTGTGGTAGATAAAGTGTTAAGAGCCATAAAAGAATACTTTACAATTTAGCCCTGGCTGTCCCCTGCATGCGCCTTCGCGCTAATACCATTCGAGACGAAACACGCGGTGTGTCCGATAGCAATGTGTAACCGAACGACTTTAATTATCCCGATTGCGAAAGTCGGCAATTTCACAAAAGTTGGTTCGCCAGTGAGCACTAGGCTGCGTACTTTTATGCATTCATGGCTTACACAAATCTTCCCAGAACAATAAGATAGAAACTTACATGGAATTTCGTTCGTTTTTATAGACATTACTTTCAAATGATTGGAACTATTGATGGCTGGAAGTTACGTTCTGTTTTATCTGAGTTTCGCGATTCTTGACTATGAAAATGTGAGTTTGCATAGAAATTCGTGGAATAGTAATAAATTGCTTAAAAATATTCTGTAGAAAAGCGTGTGGATAAAGCGTACCAAATAATAAATTTAATTAAATATGTTCCGCAATCTGTGGCGCACCAAGCGTTTCGTTACATATTAAATTAAATTAATGAACGTGAACACGCGATATATATCAAGTTTTTATTTGAAAATAACACCGCTTCTTTAGGTTGCGAGTGTTGCGTTGTACAACTAAATAGTGCACTCTAGAAATCTCGTATTTAACTTGGTTTCACACGAGATAAAAACCAACGGTATAATTGACAATCTTACAAAAGACTGTATATGTCTATACTTCCCGATCATTAATTATAAAATTCGCATTTCATTTTATGCAGATTTGTATTGTTACTGATAAATTTAAGAAAATGAATATTTCTCCGCTGTATAATAATTTCAGTGGACAGAAGATAAAACGAATCCATATTAAGTTCTAAGTATCTTTGTCTCGTAAAAACTGTATTTATTGCTTATATAATAATATTATGATAATACTGGCAGTACTAAATAAAACCAACAATGTTTAACCGGAAAGAAACTGGAACACTCCGTACAGGGAAAGCGATTTCTTTGCAAACTTGTGAAATCTTTACATACGTAAACATGAAGTAAAAAATGCTGTTACGAATCTTGTTTTCCCACATTATAAAATTCATTAAGAATATTTTAAAAATTGATTTTCCACTTTAAACAATGGACCTTTAAGTTCCAAAAAAATAAAAATTACCAAATGTTATATTATTCTTGAATATTTATGTTACAATAAATAATTTCTTTGAAACATTCTAAACAATAGATCTGTAGATTTACGTATATATACTGTACAGTTTATTCTTATATATATATATGCTAAACTGCAGCAATCAAAATCGACCGAAATATTTATCAAATCATGTTTATCACATTCAATATGAGTTAAATTGGTTCGTACCGTAAATCGAGTGTTAAGTGAATACTAATATAACAATGTCATCAATTACATTAATGATGATTAATATTAGTAATTACAATGTTGTTAATCATATTAATTACTGCTAATTATTAGCATTAATAAATTTAATATTTCATTAACCCAAGAACATTTCACAAAAGCTTTCTTCCTCGAAAATTCAGAATTAATAGTTAGACTATTATTCCAACGTAGCGTTAATAAACTTGCGGCAAATAAAGTGTTAGTTGCCAACACAAGAGGTTAAAAATCAATTAAACTTTCGGCGCGGAGAAATCATTTCTCGCCCACTCATTGATTCGAAATTGCAAGGGGAAGACTGATCGGGGCCCGAAATTCGCGGGCAAAAAGAGAACCCCTTTGGCTGTGTTGTTTCGTTGCTTTCGCACGTGCCTTGGCCATGGTTGTAGCAATCTTATCGCAGCGCAAGATGTTCTCAATTGTATTATATATATATATTAATAACGATACAGTGAATTAGGGATAAGTATACGATTCCGCGGCCAGGCCTCTGTAATCCTGTTATTAGCGCGGCGATTAGGGGAAGATGATCCTCGGGCAAATTGCAGGGGCGTATACCGCGGTGTTTGGTTAACGTAATCGCCAATCACTATCGTTGATCCGCGCAAGTCCACGAGACCGGGATCGAGAGGATACGCGCTCGTTCGAAACCCTCGGGATCCACGGCATTTCCCTCCTCCGAGAATTTTCTCGTCGACGTATCCTTTCAGCCTAGCCGGCTCGGAACCTCATGTCCTCCAGACATTCGTGAGGAGAGTCGATTAAATTGCAGTTTACGCTCGGATTCAATATTTCACTGTTATTACGTCGAATTCGCGTATCAGAATGGGCGAAAAGTTCCCTCTTTGATCCTCCTTGCACCGTTCGACTTAATTTCACTCGAAAGGGAAACTTTCTTTTCGGTCGGATTTTTTTCGACATAGAAATGTGTGAATGTGTGCGGTTTAACCTTTAACCCACCGCCGGCAATATGCTTTTTCATTAATGCGGTCGGCAATATGGGCGTTTAATGGTCAGACCTGATTTATCATTGTTGCGAGTTCTGTAAATATATGAAATGAATATGAAATATTTATTGTGGTCCCTACTTTAATGGCACTTTAGCCAAATCTTCATACAAGTTGCAATAAAAATGATTCTGTTTAATATTAAAGCTACGAGACGGGTCAAAATGACCCATTCCTGACGTCTTCTTTTTCTCTGTGAAATTATTAAAGAAATCGATTCAGCACCACGCAAACTGAAATGTAAATTGATTAAAGTCTCAACAGGTACACTCTTGGAGTCTCTACATATAGAGAAATTTTAAAAACTCAATTTGACTGAATAGACATTTAATTGTAGAAATAGAATGGAATCTATATCTCAAGAAGGTCAACGAAATATCTTAGACACGCATGACAAAGAAACTTGAAAATTAGCTGACGAATTTTCAGAAGAAGCTGGCAAGATGTCTTGTTCACGTAGTTGAATAATCTGTATAATAACATTGTATTTGAAAAAATATAATTTCGTACAAAGTAAAAATTGTATAGTGCCCGAATATTAAAATTATTCCGTGTATATTATATATTATTGACTTATACATACGCAAATTTTAATTAAATGTTAATTTTGATTTAATTTATT